ATACGGATGATGAATATCACGAAGAAGATCTAGAACAATCAAATGAAATTTATAATAAGGAAGACTCTAAACTATTAAATGTCCAGGCGACTGATCTTGCTAAGTGTCGTGAATTGCCTGTAAGTGAAAACATACCATTTGTGGCTAAATACAATTCGATTGGTGACGACAAACTTGTTCAAAGCCAAACTAGAAGTTATTCTTCATCTCGTGGAAACTCGGATGAGGAACAAATTAATGGGCAAATTAATTCTTCCAGAAGCAATCGACATAATGACAACAGAATTGCTACAGTCAGATTGTCAGGTATTAATGTTCCCACTACGCGAGAGGGACGACAACGACAAATACACCGATATAGGGTGGCCGTTGAACGGGAACGTATACGTAGTTTAAAAGAGCAACAAAGACGTGATCGCATATTACATCGCAAGGATATACAAATTCAGAACTTGAAACTGGCAATTCTGCGTAATCTATGCAGTCAAAACAGAGATGGCAATCAAATTTTGTAACTATAACTTAGCATGTATTTTCAATCACTTTAACATTATTCCATACATTTATGTAACAATGGGGAATCATACTTTTTATTACAATATTTATGAAATATACAAAAATTCCATTTAGTTTCATAAAATTGAAAAAGTTGTCTTTATTCATTCATCATAAAGATACATTTCGTGAGCAGCATAAGCCTACAAACTAAGTCCAAAGATGTAAAATGAGTTATGTATGATATATGTTTGTCGACATAGGGTAAGTGCACCAATAGTCGGCACATTAAGAATTTTCGCTTTTTAAACGTTTCACCATTCTAAGTGCATCTTTTCCACGATATTGTATTTAGGTTCATATTTTTCGAAATTTTGTTTACTCCCCGATGGAATACAAATTTATTTAATTAATTTGTATTAAAGTAGATTAAATTAACAATTATGTAAAATAGTGCCTTTGTGCCAATAGTCGGCACTTTTTTCCAATTGTCGGCATGTTATGTTCCAATAGTCGGCATGTCTCATTTTAGTTAAACAAAAATTATATATTTAATCGATATTTCTGCTATTTGCAATAATAAATTATTACTATGGGACGTTTCCATCAGTGTTGTATTGAAAAAGTTATATAAAATAATATTATTTATTAAAATTTTACAATTATAAAACATGGTGCCGACTTTGGGAACATGTTATCCAATTCTCGGCATGGCTAAATAAGGCATTTCAGAGGTTAAAAAAATTTAAGACTAAACGATGTCTTCCATTAGGAAAACCACTCAAAACTTATTTTTTATAAATTAATCGTTATTTAGAGCACTTATTTAAAATTTTTTCCAAATTTGAGCCAAAATGATCGAAAAGGTGCTTTTTATTCACCCATATGCCGACTATAGGAAACCCTTAAAAATTGTTGTTCCTAAGGGCGGCATCGATAAAAATATCATAATTATAAATATTTTTTGATAATTTAAAATTCTGAAGTGCTCTCCTGTATATTCTTTACATTTACGAAGAAGATTCTTGTGAAAAATATATAATTGTAATATAGTTACAAGTCTTTTTAAATCGACATGCCCACTATTTATACCCTTCACCACACTGTGGTACAGGGTATTATGTCTTTGTGCATATGTTTGTAACAGGCAAAAATAATCCAGATAGACACATGGTTCCTTTTGAGAATATGCATAGAATCACTTTCTAAGTCGATTTATGCATGTCCGTCCGTCCGTCCGTCCGTCTGTCCGTCTGTCCGTCTGTCCGTCTGTCCGTCTGTCTGTCCATGTTAAATTGTAAACAAAGTACAGATCGCATTTATGATCCGAATTAGATGAAATTTGGCATAGGTCACTTATTCGGCCCAAGGACGAACCCTATTGAAATTGGGAAAAATCGGTTCAGATTTAGATATAGCTCCCATATATATATTTAACCGATTTAATGTAAACGGTCCCTATATATCTTTCGATTTGCACGAAATTTGGTACAGCCTAATCATTTAGGTCTAGAATGATGCTTGCCAAATTTCGTGAAAATCGGTCCAGATTTAGATATAGCTCCCATATATAGTTTCGTCCGATTTCATGTAAATGGTGCCCCAAAGTCCCTATATATCCTTCGATTTGCACAAAAATTGGCATAACGTACTGAATTAAGCCTAGAGTGATGTCTGCCAAGTTTCAAGAAAATCGGTCCAGATTTAGATATAGCTCCCATATATAGTTTCGTCCGATTTCATGTAAATGGTGCCCCAAAGTCCCTATATATCTTTCGATTTGCACGAAATTTGGCATAACGTACTGAATTGAGCCTAGAATGATGCCTGCCAAGTTTCGGGAAAATCGGTCCAGATTTAGATATAGGTCCCATATATAGTGTCGTCCGATTTCATGTAAATGGTGCACCAAAGTCCCCATGTATCTTTCGATTTGCACGAAATTTGGCATAGCGTGCTGAATTAAGCCTAGAATGATGCCTGCCAAGTTTCATGAAAATCGGTCCAGATTTAGATATAGCTCCCATATATAGTTTTGACCGATTTCATGTAAATGGTGCCCCAAAGTCCCTATATATCCTTCGATTTGCACGTACTGAATTGAGCCTAGGGTGATGTCTGCCTTATAGATTGATTTTAAGTCATTTACGCACCAAGGAACCAATAGGAACAAAACGTTCTAAAATTAGTATAACCTAACCTGTGACAAGTGTGTTTGAAATCGCTTAATATTTGGATAGAGCTTCCATATATATTTTCGCCCGATTTCAAGTAAATTGGGCATCAAACTCCTCATGTTAGTCAGATTGACATCAAATTTTGCACAACGTACAAAATTGAGCATAGAATTACGTAGTTGCGTTTTCAGGCATAGCCCAACGGATGACCTATTTATATTTGTTCGAAGTCGATTTACATACTTTATGGACAGATCTAGGTAGATTCACATTTAGATAAATATAACATATTCTATTTCATCCAATTTCATGTTAATAGTCCTGTTTAATATACCCATAGTGGTGAAGGGTATCATATAGTCGGCCCCGTCCGACTTTACTACTTTCCTTACTGGTTTTTTCTTAAGAAACATGAATTATCGGTTGCATAGGTTGCAGTATTATTGAAGCCTATTCAAGGTATTTTTCATATCTAGTTATAGGATTTTTTAGTTATTTGAAGTTATGTATAACAGATGCTGACTATTGGTACATGCCGGAATTAGGTGCGTTTACCCTATTTAGATCTTATTTCTGCAAGAATCACTGCGAAAGACCTATTAGTCTAGAAGATATCGACCAAAATCTATACCAACCCAAAAATTATTATCACAAAAAAGTATTTTGCTTCTTATTATTTTTGAAAAAATCATTATATAACACCCGCTTTGTCTTTTTATAGTTACCATTGCGGGTATCCACATACTAGAAGCGATTTGGCGACGATTACAATAAACCACGGCATTTTTCCGCGAATATTTTCTCACATTTACGTTCAATACATTCTCCAGCAATATTTCATTTAATATTTGGTAATTTCTCCTCCTAATCTCAAAATGAGAGTACTAAATATAGTCGTCGCGGCTTCAAAACATCTCAAATAAGTTTAGAATAATAAAAAGGAGATTTTGCAAAATATATCGTAAATCCGACAAACAAATTATTTAAAAAAAATATCGCGAAAACCTCATTTTTCTGACTTTGAAAACTTTATGGCCCATTAATATTGATCTAGGAACCAATATATGCGATGAAAATAGCAATAAGGAGGTCAGATTCAAAGATATGAACGGTTTTGTTTCAATAGAAATACATCTTATTTCGAAAATAAATATATCGACCAGTTTATTTACTGCTGCATTTTATTCGCAACTGATGGTGTTAAACGGATGTAAAATATTGAATGCGTCTTCGTCACCAGCTACCACAGTTTTTCAAAACGCAATAGTATTTGACGAAGAATGATGTTTTCTCCCAAAATTCATGTACTGCTTTGTAGTTTCTGTTGTTTTAGAACTGTTCATATCTTTGAATCTGACCTCCTTATTGCTATTTTCATCGCATATATTAGTTCCTAGATCAATATTAATGGACCATAAATTTTTCAAAGTCAGAAAAATGGGGTTTCGCGGTATTTTTTAAATAATTTGTTTGACGGATTTTGGTTTTAATAGTTTTTAGGGTCCTGTCCTCGCGACATATTTTACAAAACCTCCTTTTTATTATTCTAAACTTATTTGGGATGTTTTGAAGCCGCGACGACTATATTTAATACTCTCATTTTGAAATTAGGACGAGAAATTAACAAATATTAAATGAGATATTGCTGGAGAATGTATTGAACGTAAATGTGAGAAAATATTCGCGGAAAAAATGCCGTGGTTTATTGGAATCGTCGCCAAATCGCTTCTAGTATGTGGATACCCGCAATGGTAACTATAAAAAGACAAAGCGTGTGTTATATGATGATTTTTTCAAAAATAATAATAAGAAGCAAAATACTTTTTTGTGATAATAATTTTTGGGTTGGTATAGATTTTGGTCGATATCTTCTAGACCAATAGGTCTTTCGCAGTGATTCTTGCAGAAATAAGATCTAAATATGTCGACAAACATATAATATCATACATAATTCATTTTACATCTTTGGTATGCTGGCTTTAGGCGTATATATTAGAAATTTGTCAAATTTGTATCGAGGCAAAATACTTATTACACTCACTGTATATATATATATATAAATATCGAAAAGGATAAATATCGAAGAATAGAGTTAAAACTCTAAAAAATATTCTTTTTTACAATAATTAAATAAAGAATATGAATAAAAACAAAAGCAAGGAAGAATAATTCATTAACGTGTTGTAATCTCCAACGAAATTTATTGCTTACAAAACGCTAGTGATATGTAACTACAAACATATGTACATGTATTTACATCATATATGTGTGTATTCAAGCATTTTAACTACTGCATACAAAAGAAAACATAAACATGAGTTGCACCTTTATAGTTAGTACTTCGCCATTTAATTACTTCCCTTACTGGATTCGCACATTCAATGGATTCAAAATACGGCCAGACATTACAGCAACATCCAAATCTCGATCGATTACAAAAAACATAAACGGATGATTTACAGATATGTGAGTGGGCTGCGCTTGTGCTCCGGAATTGCCTGAAAGTAAAAAAAATAATAACAACACAATAGATCAGCTGAAATGCTGTGTAAAAACAAAAACAATGAATGTTGAAATGGAGGATGTGTAAAAAGTGTTGCGCTCGATTGATAATCCAATGGGGTGTTGTTATAAGAAGTCTACTAAAACTGTTGTAATTGTAAAGTATTACGTTTTGTAAATACCCAGTAGTTCGAGTAACTGGTGATGAACTAGATATTTTACTAATTACCCGTAAGTACCACTAGTTACCACTTCATGCCCTAGACTGGTGAATTTAACATGGGTATGTCATTAGGGAAGTCAATTGTCCCCTGCCTCCGTTACCAGTATACAGTCATTTCGATAGCCGATTCATTACCCTTTGCATTACCAGTAACTACTGAATTGGTATGATGTGCGTAGACAACTTTTTCAATTGACAAAAAAATCTAACAGTATATTTTGTGTTCCTTTTTGGAGTATGAAGTAACTAGATCACCAAGTGACTAGAAATATAACTATATAATAGCAGACAATTGATATTTTTTGAACAACTGGGTATGTATTGCTGTTTGGAGTCTTAGGTACATACCGTTGCACAATTAATAGACGACAGTTTAGATCTTCGTAATGGCAAACGTTTTGCGTCATTAATGGTACAAACGTACCATTAAGCTAGTGGAGATAATATAATTCGTTGGTCTACAAAAACATACATATGTATATAAGTCTAAGAAAGGAATGTCTTGAAAGTGTAGGTGATTTTTCGAATTATTACTTTTAATTTATTTTTACATTTAATGAGGAGAACATTTCACCCATTTGCAGCAAGATGGGCACAAATCAAAATTCTGTTTCACATTCTGATTGTGAAACTGTAGAAGTTCCTCTATTGTTTGTTAGGTTTATGGCGATTGAAAACTTAAACTTAAAAACATTTTTTGTTGGTCAAATCCTAAACTATGCAATATATGGGAAGGATGGGCTTTTCTGTAATCTTCTATCCATTCCTTTACGTTGCCTATGTGTGACCACACTTTTAAGGTAATTTTTTAATGTATGTATATAAGAAAAAATTTTTTTTTCGATTATATATCCATTATTAATGAATATAAATATAGTTTTCTATTCTTTTATGGGCTTTGGCCTTGAATTTGAATTTCGCCTCAAGACATAAAAACATGTAGGGGAGAGGGGGCACCTTTGAACACTTTTTTCCTTCAAGCCTCATAATTTTTTTTATTTTATAATTTGTGTTTTCTTATAAATTTTTACTAATAGATACATATGTAACCTTTACAATGAATATACATATGACAATTTAAGCTCGATATAAATATGTTATTACTGTTATAATAGACGAAGTCAAAGTGGGTTGGCATATTTGAACGGCATGGGTTTTTACAGTTTTTATGTTAAAATATATATGTATTTTATTCATACATATCAGAAATGCATTTATTTATTAAAAAATATATACAAAAATTTTCGAAAATTAAAAGAATTCAGATCAAAATTTATTAAAACATAAAATGACATAAAAACTAAAATTAACATGGTAAAAATTAAGTCAATTTCGTAGTCTTATTAACCTATTTTAAATTTTGGAAAATCGAAGCCAAAAGTTAAAAACTCCAAAAAAATTGGTTTAACGAAAGATAATTATCACTGAATTCTTCCTGCGCCCTTATAACCAAAAAATTAAAAGTTTACAATGGCACTGTGAAAACATGGTCACTCATGTAAATTTTGTCGATAACTGAAAAAGGCAGCCAAAATAGTTCCAGCAGATAAAGAAAAAAAAAATATTCGTTGCGGGTCGGAAAATTTTTAAACCGAGATATTAAGAGCACTGTTTAAAGGTGCTCCCCTCTCCCCTATTTTAGTGATTGGATTTTTTTAGAATTCCCTTCATTGAAAAAATTGTCTTTCTATAGAAGTAAACGTTTTTCTATAAATTAAAAAATGCTTTTATACATTTCACCATTTTCAGTTTAAATACTTGTATTTGGGTATTACGCAACTCATTGAATTTGATTCGAGCCTTGAGGCCAATTGAAAAAGATGTACCAATTTCGAAAATTAAAATGAATAAATTCAAAGTACTTACGTCTTAGTTGATTGATGGGATGTGTCCGAATATGTACATTAATGGTTTGCTCAATATGCTTCACATAAGTTCCAGTTTCATCTGTCATAGGACGAAAATCAGCTCTGTTTGGTTCAAAGATATCGTAAATACCTAACTGTAAACAAATAGGATTGTATATATTATGGATATCTGATAACTTAATTAAAATAGGTTTTAAAGAAAATACATAATCAAAGTTTATAAAATGTTTATAGATGGCATTTTAGCATTTTTGAACGGTAATGACCTCTAATTTTAATTAGGATCATATGACCATTTTATTTATTTTATTTTATTTCAAATTCATTTATGATACAAAAGCTTTAAGGCCATTAATACGTATCTGCTGACAAATATACATAGCCTGCGATACATTATATATTAAACATAAATAAATATAACTAATTTTACTTTGATAAAAATAGAATGAATGCTCCCCAGCCATAGAAACAAATATAGATTTTAACATATATCCAATAACCAATAAGCAGCACATGTATAAGAATATCCACACATTATTGTAGGGAATTGTCAAAGTGACATAGAACTTTTAAACGGAAAACATTGTTACTATGTGAAAAAACACGTAATTCAAGTGGAAGGATATTCCAACATCTCGCAACTCTAACCAAAAAAGATCTTGGGAAGATATTTTTATAGATTCTAGGAATGTAGACCTGTGGGTTCCTAGAAGAAATTGAAAAAGAAAATAAAATTCTCAAGGATTTTTTATTATTTTATAAAAAAGGAATAAGCAACGATATTTAACAAACATGTCAAAGGAACACCCTAGAAACAGTTTAACATATCGTGACACATGACTATCTCGCCTGAGATTATAGACAAACCACGTTATAGAATTTACAATCCGTTTTACTCTTTCCATATTAAAAGCAATTGTCCCAGAATATACTTCAAGCCCATATAAAACTTGAGACATTAAAAGGGAATTAGCTAGAATTTGCTTTATCCGCTGATTTAAGTACAAATTAGACGAATAAATCCTACGTAATGTGCCCCATACTTTACCGGTCAATGCATCAATATGGGATTTAAAGGATAGTTCACAATCAACTATAACACCTAGACATCTATGGTGGTGTACAAAATCAATTCTTTCTTGACCTATATAAATATTTAGGGGATATGCTCGGTCATTTTTCCTAAAATACAAAGCTTTAGTTTTTAATGGCTTTCACATCCATAATATATCATGTATATATCATATATTAGTCTAATCATCAGCATATAGATTAAAATTATAGCAAACGCCATTGCTTTGTTCGAATCATTTAATTAGGTCTGACAAGATAATTCGAAATTTACTACAATCATCTTCTATACTTACATTTTGTAAATCATTCGTTAAGAAAATCGTGCCGTGCAATTTAAAATCTGGTATTATTGCTTGAACCCATTTCGGTTTCAGTTGCTTCCTCATAAGACGTAACTTTGGTCCTGATCGAAGAGATGCTGCCGCTGCTACCAAATCGCTATTGTAATCCGGCAATAATATAATCAAATTGTATTCCGGTGTATCTAGCTCCAATTCCAGAACACTCAATCGCATATGTTCGAAATATTTATAATACAATACGGCGTTGTAGACTTTAAATGTAGTGTAGATAATTTGTTGGCTGCTAAGATAGAAGACATGCGTTATAACGTCTGTATTGTAATTTTGTTTTAGAGCTGCTGGTGAGGAATTTATAAAGTTTGGATCAGCCTCGACTTCATAGTCATTGGTTAAGGGAACATAAGAGGTGTGAGGTGGAGTGTTTAGAGCCGCAATTGGCGTCAGAGAATGTATGAATGGTTCACTGTTCAATAAATTAACAAAGTAATGAGAATCGAAATCCTTCAAGCCGAAGAGATGACGCTTTCTTCGATTTTCTGCAGATAGACGCTTCGATTTCCTTTGTGCTGGTAAATAAGTGGTTTGTGGTGCTTTCATTAAACTTGGTACTTGTAGTTTTGCACTAGGCAAGCGTGTGACTCGGGCTTGTTGAATAATTCGTGACAAAGGTTCCGAATTAGTTTCAGCTACAAAAGATGAGATTAACTCGGCAGCTTCATCTGTGCTCACCGCAACTGGAGTTGCTGTTGTCGTTTCGTCGGGACTTGTGGTATCTACTATAGTAGTTGTTGTTGGAACAGCTTCATTAGTGGTTTCTGTGGAAGTGTCTGGTGTTGTGGTGACTGCCTCCGTCGTGGTTGGAAGTGTTGTAGTTGTGGTAGAAGACAATGTTGTTGTCGGAGTTGTGATTGTCGTAATGGTTTCCGTTGTTGGTGTTGTAGTATCCTTGATTTCGGTAGTGGTAGTAGTAGTTGAAATTTGTGTTGTTGCAATTGTGGTCGATGTTGTTGTTGCCTCTGTTGTATCAATTGTGGTTGATGTTTTTGTTGTGGGCGGAGGCGTAGATGACACCATATCCATTCCCAAATCGTAACCATAAAATGTTAGAATAGCTTCGAAATCTCTGGTAATTGTAACATTTTCCTTGTTGAGGCTTAGTCCTTTCAGTGGATTGTCCGAACCAAAGAAATATGTCTATTTAATAAGATGAAATATACATATTTGTAAATATAAACATTATTTAATTGTTTTCTCAATTTCGAAGTAATTTTTTCTGAAAGGACACCACAATTGGCTAACTTTTTGACTATATAATAATAACGTGTGTGTTTTTGAACAACAATTTGAGCAAATACTTGTGCAAGGTTTAAATATTATTTGATTAGATTTATGATTTTTCAAAATTGTGTCCATTTGTGAGCGAGGCTACGTACAGTCCAGCTTTGCACAATATATGTACAGCATAAATATAAAACATTTAGGAAAAATTCGGATATTTAAGGGGACCACCCACCATTCTCGGGGTCAAAAATTTTGTTGATATAATTCGAATCTACACTAATTAATAAATGTCCCTACAAAATTTCAAGTGAAAATCTCAAGAAATCTTGAAGATATAGCCGATTTATTGTGTCAGCATCAGGTGACGGCTGAAGGGCTTCTCAAACTTGAAACGCGTTTTTCTCTAAACATTTTTTTGTGAATGGCGGGCACGATAACTCAAAAACTAATAACCCAATAGATTTCAAATTTTTACACGTTTCTCTGCGAGTGCATAGCTATCGTATGAACTAGGATAAAGCCAATCGGTGAAGATCTTCCTTATTTTTTAACTTGGTTTTTGGTAAAAAAATCTGCGATTTTCCAAAAATATTTTTTCAAAGGTCCACCATTTTGTTAATTTTAGAGCGAAGTTAATAATCCTAGTTCATACGAGAGCCAGACATGTACTCTTTCTAACACCGTTGGAATTTTCGGATTCCGATGTTCCAGTGAGGAGTTATCATGCCCGCCATCAAAAATAAGGACTTTTCTTTAATTACAGAAAACAACAACAAAACAATAACAAAAATTTTTTGTAAATTATTTTTCTCCTCTTTTATATCTTCAATTATATATGTGCAAAGTTACAAACAAGCATTGGTATTGATTTACCAGCCCATTGAAAATCTTGAAAAATTAAAATCGGAGGGGGGGGGGGGGGGTTCCTTTAAAACACTTTTTTCTTGTTGAGGCCTAGTCCTTTCAGTGGATTGTCCGAACCAAAATATATATTGTCCGAATGAAATATATTGGTAAATATAAACATTTCGTAATCGTATAAGATTGTATTTTGCATCTTTTGTTAAATATGTGAAACCCTAAATTTGTTCTTTAAGTATTTTTGTTTTTCTAAAGTATTTGGTAATTATTTTAACTATATGACATTACCAAGTGTTGTTGAATAACAATTTGATTAAATATTTGTGCAAGGATTAAAAATCATTTGATCAGATTTATGATTTTTCAAAATTGTTTCCGTTTGTGTGCGAGTATAAATATTAAACATAATGGAACAAATCAGATATTTAAGATACTATATATGAGATTTACAAGTGTAAAAAAATGTTGAAACTTGAGTTTTTTAGTTTTCAAAATGTTCAGCCCTTGTGAAGCGAAATGGAGTGGACAGATAATATAACAATTTGTAACGTTTGTATAAAAGTGGTAAAATCCTTAAAGAATTATTGTGCCCATTCTGAATTGTCTGAAACGAATTTCTTGCTGTGGGGATTAAGTTTTTTTCCTTTTTGTGATTCACATTTTTTAACGCAGTATTAGCCTTAAAAAGTCTATTCTAATTTAATTTAATGTACTCACTCTCAATCGACGATGAATATCTCGATATCCAACTCTTATAATATCCCGATTACTTGGAAACTGCAGTACATTTTTCAATTCAGTCGAACTTTTTCCCGCTGAACCCTCAAACAACGCTACAAGGACACTCATCAGCGCGGTGGGCGAAAATGCAAAATTATTTCGGTTGAGAATTGAATGGTAGTGGAGAATTCGAAAGGCCAAATCATTTGTAAGATCAACCATACATTCGGCTGGTGTTAGTTCCCTTCCGGGTGTCTGAACCGGTAACGGAGGTGGTGGTTGTGGCAAAGGGGGCGGCAAATGAGTCCGAGGCAATCCACTTCCATGGAACTCATGATTGCCAACATCATCAATGTGTATCAAATGTGCGCTGCATGTATTTGGAAATTTCACTGGCGATGGGTATATTAAAAATGCCACCAAGTAAAATATTAAACGCACGCAATTGTTATTGTTATTGCCGCTTTGTCGCTGCTGATGATTGGCCATAATGGATTGTAATGGTTTAACAATTATTTTAACAGTAGTATGCTTCCGTTAATAGCTCAAAAAACATAAAAACGAACACACAAACTATACGTAGACACACACTCGTAAATGGGAGGGGGTGGTAGGAGCTCCTCCTCCCTATGCCATGATTAAAATAAAAACGAAAAAATATTTGTTGCTCCAAATAAAATGTCAATGCATTTTTTTCTCATTCGTTTGTTTGACACCAAATTTTAATTGGACCGTAATTATTTAAAATTTCTTTTTTTATTGACCTCGAACAGTATTTTGTATAACTAGAATGAATCTCAATGACGGTGACATAATTAATAAAATTCTAAATAGTAAAATGCATTTTTATTATTTAATTAATTTTTCACTAATTTAGTTATTATTGTACTTTAATCAAGGTTTCGATTATTTTTTTTAGAATCGGCGTATAGCGAATCTTTTCTGTTAAATTCGTGGCTATAATATTCGCAACAGTCAGTAATTGGTTAGAAGTGTAAATATGTATCGACCGAGAACCGTTGTCAATGCTTGTTTCATTTGGACTGAAATGCTGTATGCTGTATCGGGAGTACTTGTATGAAAATGGTCAATGGAAGATAATAAGGGCTAACACTCGTCCGCACACACACACACACATAAAATATCACCCAAAAGTACAGACATTAGGGTTTACCCCTGTGTTTGAAAATTTAAAAATGAAAAATAAATACATTAATTTCCTTCATTATAAGATGGAGTGTATATTAAATTTGTCATCCCATATAGTATATATATATTCTTGATCTAAATAAAATTCGACATATGTCGATGTCAAACCATGTCCGACTGTTGAAATCACGATAGAGGTCGCAATCTTTAATATATAGCTTTTAAATTGTACTCCTAGGATAGATATTTGGAAATGGAAAAATCGTTTTACTTTACTTTATAGCTCTCATATAAGGTTATTTAGCATTTTTAAATCTCATTGTGTAGAAAATCTTATTCCTAAAAATGATCAACTTTTTTTGGATTTTTAACCAATTTGCTCTAATTTGGTTCTCATTGGGTATTAAATTTTCATACCAAAAATAAATAAATGGCATAGGCTGTCATATATAATGGTCGCGAACAATTATAGGTACTTTTAATATCCACATTATCGTGGAGGGTATAAAAAGTTCGGAAGGACTTAATGACGCTTTTACTTATTTTAAATTGCTCTCTTTACAAATAAATGAGAATAGTATTTTCTGAATATTTTTACCCGATAACAAAGTTCAGAACAAATAAATATTTATATCATGAGACCCGTTGTGAGTCGTATTTGAAATTGTTATTAGTATTGTTATAAATATATCATTGACTGTAGACCCTAATATACTAGCATGGTATACTAGTCATTGTGATGTATCCAAACCAATTATTCACTTCAATCAAGCCAAAAACTACATGTCGATGTAGTGTTACCTCTTGGGCAATTGTTATCTACGGCTTAGTGTTGGCTGAAAAAGTTGTGGGTCTGTTGTATTGGTCTGTTAAATAAAATAAAAAATTATCCAATTGATATTTTTGATCCCTGTATATAATAATAGGTATGTTCGTTAACTGTTTTTGCACTCGTAACGTTGTAATTTTTGTGAGAGTAACATCGGGTGTGAAAATGTTAGAAAAAAAAACTTATAACATGTAGTTAGCATCCTACTGATCAACAAAATAATATTGTTATATAGAATAGTTCATTTATTTTAGCATATTAAGTACTTAAGGCGCGTTAGACTGTAGTTTTTAACGTGATAATGCGTATTATCTCAATTTAATTGTTTAATCGAGCTGAATTTGCCACGATTTACTAAACACAATGAAGGCGCGTTTAGACTATGACTTTAAAATCGTCTCGATTTTAAATCGAGGTACAAAAGCCTATCTGTTTAGACTAGTATTAAAATTATATAATCTTGATTTGTCAGCTGCATTTGTTTACATATGCATTAACATTTCACGGGTTGCATAGTTTCTGTGGCATTTTGTTCGTCAATATTTTCATTATTCTAATAGGCATCCCAATATTATAGGTGAAAAAACATACGTTGTCTTAAAATATAGTAATATTGTCATAAGATATATAATAAAAAATGTCAACTGCGGACATTTTTTTGTTAGGTAACTATTTTCAATATTAACGTATTTTGAATTTAAATTCAGAGTCAGGCAAATTGCTCGCGTGTGAGATTTTTCTGATGATATATTAAAGTACACAGACCCATACATATGTTGTTGCCTACTTTCAGTTCAATTCCGAAATTAAATTGAGATAAAGGCGCGTTTAAACTATAGCTTTTATCTCGATTTAATTGCTAAAACCAGCTCGAATTAATTCGATTTACCATACAAAATTAAATCCATTTATTATCTCGACTTGCTCGAAATCCTGTACTAAAACGAGAAAATTTGAAATACAAACCTGCTTTTGCATAAAAAATAAAGGTTTCTCCCTAAAGTATGCTTTAAAATTAGTCAATATTCCAAATAAAATGTGCCAGCAGCTGTGAAGAATAATTGTTTTGTTGCTTTTATAATAGATATTGCTATAATTAAAAACAAATGTGTTTTTGCATTTCTGACCTAATAGAGAGCAATTCCTAACAAAATTATGAAAATAATGATTAACCATTTGTCTCAGTGATTATGACCGAAGTGAAATGTGTATGTATACGTAAACACTTCATTTCATTTTACTTCACTTCATTTCATTTTAATACTAGTCTAAACAGCTAGGATTTCGTACGTCGATTTAGAAGGCATAGACTAAACGCGCCTTTAACCTCCATTTGCTCTAAATGCTATGCTAAATCGAGATAATTTCAAATACAAACCTGTTCTGCACTACTTCTCCTAAAAGTATGCCTCAAAGTATGTAAAAATTCAAAATAGTTACCTAACTAAATTATGGCCGCTGTCGAAAGAATTGCAACAGAAATTATGAAACCAGTGAAATGTGTAATATATATATACATATTTAATTGTTGACTTTATACCATTTACTACTACCCTAAGCAGCTAGCATTTGTTACCTTGATTTACAAATCACGTAGATTTAGAAGGCATTGTCTAAACTCGCTATAACACATTCTCCGAAACATGAAACTTTATCGAACACATGATGTTTATACTTACTTTTCTGTATGCTTATTTAATTAAAAAAAAAAATAAAACAAATAAGCATTAATTTGTTGCTTCAATCTGCAATTCTTTTTATTTATGTATGTGTGTAGATATTGTAATATATATATATTTTTTCTTGTCATTTCAATGAATACATATATATCTATATCATTTACATATCTGTATCATAGATTATGTAGATAGAGTTTCTTTCTTTATATTCTTTTAAATATTTTCAACATGTTCCATATTTTTGAATTTAACATCTATATTAAAATTTTGGTTTGGTAGCTTAAAGAGACACTATGTTCGTATTTATGTATATGGAAATTTGTAGCTTTTGTTTTATTTTCTCAAATATACTATAATCTTTTGTAATATGTATGTTTGTGTATCATGTATTATATATTTTTTTGTTTGTTTATTATATATGTATATTCATTTGTTATGTTTGTATGGTAGGCTTGCATGTACAGAAGATATATATGTATGTATATTATTTCCTTCTATATTAATATTTAATTTGTTTATTCAAAAAAATCGGATATTGAATATTTTTTTTTGTTATATACTTCATTTGTGGTATAAACATTTGATGTACACGCATATGTTCATATATGTACATATGCATTTAAATAAAATGTTGAATTTGTTATACGATTTGTATTTAATTGGTTTGAGTTGTTGCTATTGCTACATTTGGATAATGTTATCACTTATTTGAAATTAAATTAAATCAAAAGTTAATTAATATGCATCCGTAGTTTATAAAGTCAAATCAGTAAAGAAGAAATAAATTTAATAATTTATTGTTCAGGAAAAGTCAAAACCCAATTAGAGGGACATTTTTTGTATCCTTTATTCGTTAATGTGGAAATATGAAAGTTATGAAAAATGTGATCATTAAAATATTGTGCGTGTTGGAGAGAAATAAATTCTTATTTTTTTCAATATTATATTTCAGATATTAATTCCAATGTACTGGCACAATAATACCAAGTACATTAATGTAAATATGATATATTTACATATTTTCGAAACAAACCGTTTCTATCTCTATCATCTGTCAAAATTTTCCTTATAATTCTTTTTATTCCAAAAAATGCAATTTGAAGCCATTAATGTTGCCAACCATGTGAAATATTATATATCAGTTGGTCGAGACAAAAACAAATGTTTTTGTTTTGATACATCACCTTATTATTGCATCATTGAACTGATTACAATTTTTTCTCAAAGTGGTTTGTTCTATTAAATCAAAATAATATGTTTTGTGGTTTTCTAAAAAGGGCAACCAATCAAGAATTAAAAAAAGAACTAAACTCCTTCATTCAGAAAATTAAATTAGATATTTAAAACTAAAACGGCATATACATTAGATCTTTTTACCGGGTTAACCTACTTTATGAAGATTTATTTGACATATATGCAAAGGAATTGACAAAAAAGAAAACCAGTTAAATGTAAACGATTGATTACTGCAGGTAATCAAGAAAAAAATAAATAAATAAATAAAAATATTCAAATGGAATTGAAGTATGTTCAAATTTTATGGAAATGAAGGTCTTTTTTTAAGTGCGTTTAGATTTACGAAATCTACTCGATCTCAAATGTCAGTTTAATAGCGTAAACGTCAAATATAATCCAATGGATTTGCCAATAGGATTAAGCTGACGTATACGATATGGAATTTACATTTGAAATCGAGTGGGTTTAGAAGTCTAAACGCGGTCTTACCAGCACTACTCTGGAGAAATTATCATGCTATGAATGAAATAAATATTTCATGGCATTCCTACTCTATTTTTTTCTAACATGGCAGAAGAAGCCACTACCTACATAGT